GGAGGCCCACGGTGAGTTTGGGGCATGTGTGGTTTATCTGAAGGCAAAGGGAAGTGGTCACTAAGGCTGAGAAGTCAGGAGGTAGATGTGGGGAGTTGGCGTCATGGAGGTGAGAACAGGAACCAGCAGATGGAGGTGAGGTCACAGGAAGCGGACAGGAGATAAAAGTGGGGTGAGGACAGTGCCTTGAGGTCCCCAACCGCAAGTGGGAGGAAGGAGGCAGAGAGCCAGAGAGAGCCAGGCAGTGGCAAAGGAATAGCAATCGTATAAGGCCAGGCTCTGGGACAGGTTTTCCTGGGTCTGAGTCCCAGTTCTGTCACTTAACTTCAGAACCTTGAGCTAGTTACGAACCCCTCTAAGCCTCAATGTCCTTGTCTGTAAACTTAAGATTATAATTCATAAATTTGTGGCAAGAATTGAAAGGGGTGTCTCCTGTAAGGCTTTCACCGCTGGAACACAGTAAGTGCGGTTAATACTGGCTATTATCATTAGTATCAGTGGGAGGAAACCAGAGGAGGACAAACCACGTTCTTAGTGTCCTTTCTATGTTTCCAATGCCAACTAAGGGAGCGAGGAGGGAATAGGACGGACACCTTTTATGAAAGCAGCCATTCCTGTGCAGCCAGGGTTGAGAACCACTGATCCCTCTAGCCCAACCCTAAAATGTTTCGGCTGGCGAACTGTAGGCTAAGCATCTGCCAAACATCATGAGCAAGGTGGCAGAAACACTCCCTGACTTAAACATGGAGAAGAGGACTTGGCCATCTGATTTTGAAGCCCTGGCTTCTCTCTTTACTCGCTGTGTGACTTTGGACAAGTCACTTGGCTTCTCTGAGCCTGAGCTATTAAATAGGATAATGGATCTAAATCACATAATATGTTCTAGTACCCAGTGTGCCCTCAAGAAGTATTTATTTCTGTCTCTTCCTCTCTAGAATCCAAATCTCTGGGCTCTTCCAAACGCATGATTCATTAGGATCCTGAACTCTATGCTGGGCTCCACCCACAGACACTGTGACTCTCTAAGGGTTCCTCTGTGTTTCCAGAGCCCTGGCCTCTCCTCTGATCCCTGTAGCCACCTGCCAAAGAGCAGAGCAGCTCAGACTTCTGCGTGCACACGACCACCCAGGGCTCTCGTTGAAAATGAATGCTCTGATTCAGCAGGTCCTGCACTGGTAAAGGTTCAGGCTCAGAGGAGGCTGGTACTGCAGGTCCTCTGTACTCCATGAAGAGAGCCCCGCAGTGGCTGGTCCACCTCCCTGCTGACTCATGAGCTCCCCTGGGGCTGGTCTGTTTATCTCACTCATCTCTGTGTCCCCTCCACGGTGTGTGCTCACTAAATGGATGTTGAAAAATTACACAAACTATAGAGAAAATCATTCTCCAGCTAAGTAAATACAGACAGGGTATTTGGTTTGTCTGTGAGTGGCAGCCCTCCTGGTTCATTCCAGAATCACCCTCTGGAATTGGCAGTGTGAGGACAGAATGATGGAGGGGGACTGAGACCTAGAAACTGGAGTCCTGGGTTTGAATCCCGACTCTTTCATTCACCAAAGGTGGCCCTGGGTAAGTTACCAAGCTCTCACCCATAAGGTGACAGAGACAACACCTAACCACCATGTAGCCTCAACGATGGCTAAAACATTCTTTATAAACTGTGAGGTGTTCCAGGCAAGGGATCATTATCACAGCAGCTATTTGAAGGGCAAGAACAACTTTTAATTTCCCTAGAGCCTGAAGGTTGCTTGTGATGGGCTGGATAGGGGACGTACCAGGGTCTAGTTGGAGACAGAGGCTGTGGCAGGGAGGTCTGGGGTCCCCACTCTGGCAGGGACAGTGGCCATGTGAAGTATGAGGATGATGCCAGGAGAGTTGAGGACCGAAGGCTTCCTGGAAGACGCTGGTAGAAGTGCGGAAACGAGGCTAGTCTGATGGCACAGGCAGCCAGGACACTGGCCTGACCAAAAGGAAGGCAGAGGAATCAGAGTCCTCTGATGGACATGGGGCAGGCTCCTGACTGATAGTGTGGCGGGCAAAGCTGGACCAGGGAGAAACTGGGAAAAACATCAAGTATCTACAGATGTGCCCTGTAGCCCAGGGCTGAGTAACCCACCTAGGCCAGGGCTTCCCTTGCGAGCTAACCAGTCACTTCCTACCCTCGACTACAGCCAGCCTATCCCTAACACAAGCCTCAGGCATCTGAGGACACAGGCAAGAACAAGACACAGTCCTGCCCTCAGAAGCTCATAGTTTACTAAGGGCAACACTGAAAAATGGTACAAGGTTGCAGGTGGGAGTGGCCAGTTCTGTTCCTGTCGCCACCTCAGCCAATTTCACCTCTAGATGTTTCCTTATACTAGTCCCCATCCCTGGAATGCCCCATTCCCTCCCCTCCACCCAGCATGCGCTAACGCATGCTGAAAGGGGTTCAGTCCTCGATGAGGGCTCCCTACCCCTTCCTACCCCCACAACCTGTACTTTATGCACGCACTCTTGGTAATTGTTGCATTACCTAGTAACACTTTCATCCCTCTACGGAGGAGTTAATCACAGCCTGCATGATTATCTACTGTGCTTTGTGTCTCATCTCCCTAGTCAGATTATAGCAATAATCACTGAAATAGTGCTCCACAATTTACAAAATGCCTTCACGCATACTATTTCATTTAATCCCCACAATAAACCTGCGAGGTAAGTATTATCTTCTACAATAAGGAAACCATGGCTTAAAAAGGTTAGACAACTGGCCTGAGGCCACGTAGCCTATCCGTGTGCCCAGCCACAAAACTCGAACCTCTTCCAGATCCAATGCTAGTGCCCTGCCCAGTACTCAGAGGCAACACAAGGTAATGCTTAAAGATTGGGACCACTTTTAGTTGTGTGGCCTTGGGCCGGTTACTTAACCTCTCTGTGCATCAATTTTCTCCTGGGAAATGTGGCTGATACCCACCTCATAGGTCCTTGTTGAGATTAAAGAAGGTAATACAATAAAGTACTTAGAATAGTTCTAAACACTAATTAGTTACAATTATCACTATACCTTGGCTGATTCTCATGGTCTCTTAACTCATTAAACATTTTTTTCTAAGTTATTTTTATATATCATAATATATTTGATAGGTAGTCATTAAACTAAGTAAGTGTTTTTGCAGATTGACCAATGCTAAGATTTTGGATTGTTCTCTTCTTTTCTCTCCTACCTCCCTAATAACTTCAACAACAAAAAACTCTCTTTTCCTGCTCCAGTCTACTCCTCATTCCCACACAACCCCCCCCCCAAATGCTAGGTCAAATTTAGCCAATTACAAGTGTTCTGCAAAAAAATCTAGACTCTCCTTGTTGGGTTGTCCCTGGATCAGAAGGGGACTGCCTGTCATAGCTGGAAACTTTCACAAACCTAATTTCCATCACTATAATGGGTCAAAGTTTTACTATATTTCTCTATTGCTCCAGTTTTTACTTATTTGAGACTATAGAGGGAAAGAATTATCATAAAATACCGCCTATTTGTTTTATTTTTCCATTTAAAAAAAAAGAAGAATATTCACACTGTTTCCTGGAGCAAGAAGCCACACGTGACCGACAGGACAGCTAGTGGAGGCAGTCACACCCACTGCAGGCGGAAAGCTTTCTTCTTTTCAGCAGTCTGGTCCACAAAGCCAGAGAATGAGCCCCATGCCCTGCTGGGCTCTGGGAGGCAGAAGTGAATGGCCATCTCTCCCATCCTGCCTAGGGCAGGATTGGCCCAGGGAGGGGACGCTCTCTACTTTACATCACCTTTCGGGGCCAGACATGGCTGAAAAGAGGAAAGGATGAAGTCCCTGGGGGTGAAAACCTTTATGCTTTGCAAGATTCCCTATATAGAACACTCAGTCAGGTCCTCAAAATCTTTCCTATCTAAAAGTTTGGGGAGAAAAGCAGAACAGAGCAAGGGAACCAGCCTCTGGCAGTGGAGGCTCTGCTGAATCTTCAAAGCTTTCACTCTGAAAACAAGAGTGAAGATCCAATCTGCCCATACAACTTTGGCACTGGGATTAAAAGAAGTACTGCACCCTTTGAAATGGATTTTTGCATACAAACGAGCTGATGAACACCATAAACATGTCAGTGTGATTCAGTCAAATCAATTCACCAGGCATTAAAACCGAGGTAAAAATGGATTGTGCCTTTTTTTTTATGACACAGAGGAATTTTGGCCCCCAGCCTTGGTCAGGCTGGACAAATTGGGCAGTCTGCCTATTAGCTGTCAGGCACATCTTGGGGGCTGAAACCAAAACCCCAAGTCAGGGCTCTGGGCACCACTGGGCAGCTCATCCTACCAGCATTAGGCTGTCAGGCCAAATGCCCCCATTCCTGCCCCTGGCCGCCTCCCTCCTCCAGCCCCCAGTCATTTTCCAAGCTCGGCCACACTTCGCATTTCCTACATTCTTTCTCACCGTTCAGACCCCTTTGGCCAGGCTTCCAAGAGCCGACAGCTGGGGCTGGTGTGAGCCAAGAAAGAGGCACCAGGAAGAGGGTACTAGGGGTGGGGGGTATGTCAGTGCAACTAAGAAGCGATCGCAAGAGGTGGAAAGGACTCCCCATCCTTCATACCCCCAACCCAGCTCCCTAGTCTCCGCCGCCACACTTGGGTCTCCAAGTGGCTCCCCAGTGCGCTACCCCTGCCTAGGAGCACTCCTTCCATTCAGCCCCTTTTCGGTTCTTCCCCCAGTCACCGCCCCTGTGACCCCTGCTCTGCCCCACCGGGACCGGCTCCCCTCGGCCGCGCAGCACAGATCATGCCAGCTCCTCGGAGACAACCTGCCCTTTTCCCCCAGGCCAGCTGGGATGCCCAGGTCCCCGACCTTCCCGGGTCGCCAGGACAAGCGCACCTTCTCCCGGCCCCCTTGTCCCGTCATTCCCTGGGCCTGCAAGACCCCTACTCCCTTCAAAGCCCTTGGGCACACCGCGTCTCCCGGGATGCCCATGCCACGCATACCCCGGGATCCCCTGGTTCCCACCTGAGTCCGCTCGAAGCTCTCTCGCTCCGCCGCCTCCATCCCCGCGCCGACCCCGCGCCGGCTCAGCACCTTGGGCAGGGGGTTGGGCACCTGCTTCATGGAGCTGGCCATCCGGTCCATGTTGCCGCACGAAGCTGAGTCTGGGGCCCTCGGCCGCCGCGGGATCCCCACGGCACCGCCCGACCCGCCCGACCCGCTGGGATCCGGCGCTAACGGGACACCTCCCGCCTCCATTGGCTGGGAGCGCTGCTACTCTCCCGAGGCCCCGCCCCATCAGAGGCTTCCCCGCCCGCCCCCGCCCCTCCAGAGCCCCTCGGCGTGCCTCGCCGGGTCAGGCCCTCTGGACCGCTAGGCGCGCCGTGACCGGCCCGGGGACCTGTCCGTCACTGGGTCCTACCGCCTTTGGCGGGGGCGGGGCGGGGCGGGGCGGGCTTGGAGGCGGCCCTGACCTGCCCTCGCCCGCCCCTACCCCGACGCGAGTGCACCGCCCCTCCCAGCCCCCGCCCCTGCCCCGCGAGCCTCTCTTTCCTTCGGCCCCTGGTGCTGCGAGGTCCCCGCGTGGTGGGCGGAGGTCAACGCTAGACTGGAGTCCGGCCTAGGGCTGGGGCTCTGGGCACGTCTGGGATTACCGTTTACTCCTCTACGGCCGGGGACCTGAGAGCTTGGGATGGACTGGCCTAGAGGCCGGAGCCCTGAAAGCGCTGCCCCCAAGCCCGGCAGGATGGGTCAGTGTCTGCCAGGCCTGGCCGCCGTGGGTGACCGCCCAGACCCAGTTCCCTCGGCTTCTTCCCTCATCCTGACGGTGCCCTGAATCCCTGCCAATCCTTTTTGTAATGATCGCAGGCCCGGGGGCGCTGGGCTGGCTCAGTGGGAACCTCTCGCACCTTTCAAACCTGCCCTCATCTGGAGTATTTGTTGGTAGAAACCCCTATGGACACCTTCTGTTTATCCTTGGCCACCCCTCCCATCCTGCTCAGACGTCAGCCAAGGTACCGACAGGCAGAGGGAAGTGTGATGCTTAACGAGAGATGCTAAAGAGATGTTAGAGAAGTTTTCCGTAAATTTTGGAGTTTAAAAAAACTCTGAAAGTCGAAGTAAAGAAGGGCATTAATTTTTTTTTAACTAACAGCTTTTGATAAAAATCCACACGTTCAATAGAGAAGTGGAAGAGTGGGTGGGCCTTTGCAGGCACGAGGGAGCCACTGAAAGCTCTTACTCAGACCTGTGTTTTGCCGTGCTGGCATTGTGTGGACAGGATCTTGACGGTGCAGAGGGAAAGGAGGGAACCGATGGGGGGGCCACTCCAACAGTAGGTGAGAGACAATGAGGGCCTGCACTAGGATGGAGAGGAGAAAGTTCTGTCGTGTGGGAGGCTAGTGAATAGGCCGGGACAAAGGGAATGCTGGGAGGGAGGATGCAGTAGTTGGGCCAGAATTTCTGAGGAGGAAGGATTTAATTAAGGGTGGCTGTGTGTGTTGGAGGGGAATTGCCTTGAGACTGCTTTGCATAGCAAGCACATTGGTTTCACCTTTTCTTAAATTGTGTTTAGAGGCTTGGGAGTGGCTCCCTTGCATTCCTCCAGGTTCTCACTGTCAGCTAGGTTTTGAGGCTTTGTGTCGGCGCTGCAGGTGGAGATAACACAGTACAGGCAGCAGGAAAGGGATTGCACCCTGGAAGGGCTAATTGAGAGCTGAAGAAGAAACATGTACAAAGGTGTGACCTGGAGTAAGAGGATCAGCTAGGGAGGATGAAGCATGCAGGGATTAGAACAGTGGGAAGCTGTTATGTCCCCAGACCTGAAGGGACAAGGCGGGGCAACTGTACTGGAACCAGTTGAGAGTTCTAGTCACAGGAGAGGCGGCACCTGACAAGAGCAGCGGCCTTAGGTAGAAAACCAGTAACTGGGAGATCCCACTCTACCTCTCCCTTCCTCTGACTTCCGACTGTTGTTTCCCACTGGCCAAACTGGGCCGGAAGCTGGAGGCAAGGGTGATACCTCAGTACTGCCCCAGACACTGGAGCAGAGTGGAGGCTGGATCTGAAGGGGCTGAGAGGTTCCTAGTACAGGGGGCTCATAGCAATATACCTACAAGGAAAACATACAAGATTCATAATGATATTACCCCTCTGTGTGCCCATTCTTAGTCCTGCACCCACCTCATACTCGGGATCCAGCTAGAGAGTGATTTATAACCTTTTGCCCAGAGTTGATGGCTTCAGTAAACAAGGGTCATTTAAATAGGGATTAAGGGATCAGCCTAGTTCTTATTCGAATAAACCAGAATAGGAATCAGGAATTTGTGGTTTGGAGGCACACGGTGGAGAAAGACTCAAGCGCGTTCCCTTCCACTTGCTACAGCAAAACCCTTTGCCAAGGGTTAAGGGAAACCATCCCCTAGGATATAAACTATAAGACTCCGCTAGCTTCCATCAGCTCTTACCATCTCTCCCAGCAATGTTGAAACCACTTCTTTTACACCTTCTAGGAATGCCAGTTTCTGGACATGGGACCCTAATCTCTGGGAAACCCAGAGGAGGATAAGTGTGATTATCTGTCTCTCCATAACTGGTGAAATCTGTCTCACACCCCCACCTAGTTTGAATCTGATTTAGTATCTGGTATGAGGCTATATAAGCTGACCACACTATTCCTACAGGTTCCTTGAGCCCAAGTACACATGTTTTAATAGTTTGAATGAGGTATAATTAATATACATTAAACTGTATATATTTAAAGTATACAATTTGATGAGTTTTGAAATATATATACACAATGAAACCATCACCACAATCAAGATAATAAACATATTCATCACTCCCAAAGGTTTCCTCATGCCCTTTTGTAATTCATTCTTACCTCCTCCCAAACCCCTGTGCCTAGGCAACTACTGATCTGCTTTCTGCCACTATACATTAGTTGCATTTTCTAGAATTTTATGTAAATGGAATCATACAGGATTTGTTATTTTTTGTTTGGCTTTTTCTACTAAGAATAGTTATTTTGAAATTTATGTATGTTATTACATGAATCAATAGTTTATTCCTTTTAATTGCTGAGAAGTAGTCCAGTGTATGGATAGTTTACAATTCATTTATCCATAATCTGCTAATGGATATTTGGATTCTTTCCAACTTTTGACTATAAAAAAAAAGCTGCTATGAACAGTCATATACAAGTCTTCATGTGAACATTTGCTTTTAATTTCTCTTGGGTAAACACCTAGGAATGAATGTCTGGGTTGTATGGTAGATGTATGTTTAATTTTTTAAGAAATTGCCAAATTGCTTTCCAAAACGGTGTTTACATTCCCACCATCAGTGTGAGAGAGTTCCAGTGTTCCACATCCTTGTCAACATTTGATATGTTCAGTCTTTTTAATTGTAGCCATTCTAGTGAGTGTGTGGCGGTAATCTCATTGGTATTTAAATCTGCATTTCCTCAGTAACTAATGATGTTGGCTATCTTTTCAGATGCTTATTTGACATCTGTATATTCTCTTTGGTAAAGTGCTTATTTAAATCTTTTTTTGCCCATTTAAAAGAATTTATATTGAAATAATTATAGACTTACAGAAGAGTTGCAAAATAATAGTTTTCACGTATCGTCCACCTACCTTCTTACACAACCTAATGTTAATGTCTGACATAACCATGGTACAATTTTTTTTTTTTTAAGATTTTATTGGGGAATCGGGGGGGATGGGAACATTG